GCAGGGAGACAGCAAGGTGGGGAGGGGTGAGTCCCTGAGCAGGGAGACAGCAAGGTGGGGAGGGGTGAGTCCCTGAGCAGGGAGACAGCAAGGTGCAGCAGGTTGTTAGGGGGCACCCATATGGATGTGGGAGCTGGACCCCGGGAGGGCAGGGAGGGCGGGGCAGCCAGCATTCAGAAGCTAGAGAAATGGGGGGAGGGGCACCTGGGTGACCAGGGCCTCAGGGACTCCTCGAAGACGGGCAAATAGCTCCAGGTGCTCAAGGCCTGTCAACAGCTCGAAGATGGCATCCGACTGAGGGCAGTAGCCCATGCAGCGCTGCGCAGCGCCCGGCTCCTGGGCCACGCTGGGGAGGGGACGGGGTCAGAGAATTGGTGAGTGACAGCCACTTCAGGGGCCAAACGCAGGGGTCTCACGCCCACCCACCATGGACAGTGACAGGGCTCTCTCAGGACCAGTCTGCGTGCCAGGTGTGGGCAGAAGCTTGCCCCCCATCAGGCTGGTGAGGAGTCGTCCATGCAGGGCCCGTGGGAGGGGGAGAGAACAAGGGCTTCCATGCCCCTCACCTGTGGCCTGCCAGCACCACCTCGCCCCCGCTGGGCAGCGTGTCCCCGGTCACCATGCAAAATGTGGAGGTTTTCCCTGCTCCGTTCACACCCAGCAGCCCAAAACACTGCAGGTGTGCACACAAAGGGCACTGAGCAGGGATGGCCTCGGGCCTGGTCTCAGTGCCTCTCTGCAAGAGTCCCTGGTAGGTGCTTGAGCGCGTGGTAGGCACCCTGTTGCTCCCCAGGGAATGGCTGAGGGCATTCCGATGTGCTTAATCAACAGAGTAAATGTCCTCTAGAGGTCTGCATACAGGTAGTGCTCAATAAAAACCGGGCCAAGAGATTTCCAGACATTTCCTGCCGCACAGCAAGTACTTCATACACAATGACAGCAGGTGAGTGCTCAGGCTGAGCACCAAGGTAAGGACGTCAGTTAGCACGCAGCAGGTGCTTGATACAGAGGCTGCAGCTCATACTAACAGACAACACTTGTAAACAGGGGTGCACCGGCCTCTAGCCTTTGGCCAAGACGCAGCACACAGGGAGTAGTAAGTTTGTGCGTAGCATGTGTCTGAGTGGACAATTCACACACGCGAGTGCTGAATGAATATTGGCCGTGAACCAAGTGCTTGATGCAGATACGTATACAGCTGGACTCATACATGGGACGGTGCTCGTGACACGAAAATGGCGCCCACTGCATACCAGTGCACACGAGGCTCCACATAGCTGAGTGTGCACAGTGGTTAGCAAACGTTGATGCGTAGTAGTTGCTTGGTTAAAGGACTAACAGGTGCTCGGTACATGTTTGATTTCCCTGTTAGGGGCTTACTAACACCTTATCGCCTACAGTAGGGTTCAATAAATGTAAGCATCTAGTAGGTGCTTAATGAGTGTCTGTTGGCATCTAGTCGGTGCTCAAAAAAAGGTGACCAGATTCTCCCTGGTGGCTTGAGGGAGGGAAAAAGTCTCAGCACTATGATGTTATCTGCAGCCCCTGCAGCACAAATTCGATCCCCAGGCAGGGAGTGACGCCCCCAGGGCCCCAGGGAGCAACAGACCTCTCCTGTCTCCCCGCTGCTCCCCTCAGCAGTGGATTTCAGTCCATCTGCCTGTTCTGATTCCGATTCTGTCTCTGGTGAATCCTCTCACCCCCTCCCTCGCACACACCTCTCGCCTACACCCCAGCTGTTGAAGGCATAAATAAATCTTTACCAAAACAAAGATGAGAAGCACACAGTCTTTTGCTACCCCACACCGGGACCGCCACCCTGAACTCACCTCCCCGGGGGGGATCCCCAGGCACAGTCGATTGACTGCTGGTGTCTTCTGCCCTCGGTATACCTGGGAGGAATGCAGGTCACTAACAAAAGTGGGTGGGCAAATGGGATCCCACATTCACACTAGTCCACACTCACCTTGGTCAGGTCTCTCAGCACCAACACATCCCCTTGGGTGGCCCCTCGGACCACCCGGTCCCGCTCACGGGCTACATCCTCATCCTCTTCCTCCAGGGATGGCAGTTGCCTCAGCTTCGATCTGAAGACAGACACACGATTGGGCCCAAGGTGGGACCCTGGCCCCTGCCACCCTACCCTGGCCCCACTAACTGTGGCAAGAGGCAGTTGTAGTGCTGTAGCAGGAGTGTGAAGAGGAGGAAGAGGGGTCCCTGTACCATCATGGCCAAGAGGTTCTTGCCAACCACCTCCCAGCGCAGGGGTGACTGGAATTGTCTGTCTCCTGTAGCAACAAGAAGGAGGCACTGGGTCTTTTAGTTCTGGTTCCCTCTCAGGCAGATCACCTTGTGTTCTTTAGAGAAAAGATCAGGAACTGGACAGGCCAATTCACATAAACATTGGTATCACCACCTCCCTTATACAGGGTCTTAGCCCTCTTGTGATATGACCCAAGATGAATCATCTTTTATGACAGTTAATTTGGCCCAACTTGGTGTTACCTGAAACCTCCAGTTCTTTTCTGGGAGCTGTTCTTTGTCCCCACCTTGCATTTGCTAAAGTCAGCACCAGTTCCCACCTTGTATAATTGACTCTTGAATGTCACTTCCACATCTGGACAGAATTTCTCATTTCTCACCTAAGCGCTCAAAGGCATCAGCCATGGCCTGGTTTCGCACCATGTCGATGAGTCCCCGGCCCAGGCAGAAGTGGGGGAAGATAAGAAAGACCCGTTTCAGGATCCGGCTCACCTCCTGCAGCTTCTACTTAAGGTCAGGAAGAGAGAGGTGGGTCAGGGATTTATAACAGTGCGCCAACCCAATCCCAGCCCAAAGCTCAGCCTTATTGGGCCCCACCTGATCAGAGAAGAGTTCCAGCACAAAGGTGGCCATGCTGCCATTGATGCCAATAAAAAGGTTGATGCAGGTGAGTACCACATAGGCTGTGCTAGGCACTGAGAAGAAGAAGGAGGCTGGATACATGAGTGGTGTAATCGACCAGCTGAGGGAACAAAGGAGTGTAACCACTCAGACAGGGGGCTAAGCAGCTCAGACGAGCACACAGCTCCCTTTCCCATCTGCTGTGAGGCAGGCCTCAGTGTGTCAGGGCCAGATGAGCTTTTAAAGCCACCTCTCACAGTTCTGAATTAGCACACTTGGATTATCTCAGACCTCCAGAACCTCCCATAAGTCCCACCTCCTTCAACAGCACAAGGGGTATTGGGGAGGGTAGTAAGAGCAGACCCTGAGCTGCTGGGCACCTCACCCATATAAGAGGAGCAACAGCAGGAGGGCAGGCAGGTTGGCAGGGGCCACATATGCCCTCTGCTGGAAGGCCAGAAAGATGAGCACCACGAGACATGCCGGCACCAGGTAGTTACACTGCATTGGAGACAGCAGTTTCCCTGTCCAAGCGCAGACCCAGGGGCTGCCACCCTCAGCCCTGTGTCCCGCCCCGACTTCCCTGCACTCTGGGTACGAGGCCACAAGGCTGCCCCGAATCCCAAAGATTTTATCCACACATCCCAGCTCGAAGGGGCAGTGGCAAACGGTAGGCGGGCCCACACCCGCTCAGGCAATGCCCATACCATGTCCCAGAGAAAGTTGCTGAGCCAGTAGAGGGTGGGAGACAAACCCCCCATGAACTGCAGGTGTTTGGCTTGCGTGACGCGCTCCTCAATGAGGACAAGGGTGAAGCTGGCTGGGACGAAGGACATAGCGAAGACCACACAGATGGACACAAGCACGTCCACCGAGGAGGCCATCCTGCGTGCAAGGATGCATGCCATGGGTGGGGCAAAGGGCTACGGGACCAACCACTGGTGGGGGAGGCGGCCAAGTTCTTCAGGGGTGAGGGTGCTGAGTCGTAAGACCAGGAGAGATTGCGCAGGTACTTGTGGGGTAAAGGACAATGTGATGAGAATGGGCAGACTGCTGGGGCGACTGGAGCGCGTTAAACTTGATGGTGTCCCACAGAGGGGCAGTTTCCGTTCCCCATTTGCACAGCAAGGATGTGGCGGAGTGCTAAGCCAGCTCCTGCCAGCCAGAACAACCGAGAGGATGAGGCGGGTCAGGAGAGAACCGAGAAGAGAAGGGAGGACTTGGGGAGCAGAGGGACTCACAGCGCTGCCTCAGACAGTTGCTCCTTGGTGAGGTTCAACGGGTGGTTGACCGTGGTGATACGGTAGGTGTGGTGGGCAGAGCCCGGGGGCAAGAGGGCACGCAGGAGCGCATTGTTGGCTCTGTTGACAAAGGCTGCCATGGCGTGCCAGCCCTTGTTGTTGAACCAGATCTGCAGTGGGTCAGAGGGAGGGCTCAGGGTGATGGCGTCTTACCTGCTCCCAAGCGGCTGCCCCATACCCCGAGCTCGCACCTTGAGGCTGTCCTGAGCATCCAGGCTGCAAGCCCACGCCGTGAGGTTGCTCAAGATCCGGTCAAGGGCATCTCCCGGGTGGGGGCTCAGCAGCACCCGCAGCTCCTCTACAGAGTGACCTACCTCCTGTCCCGAGGGCCAGCTCCGGTCCTGACCCCCCAGGGAGAAGCCCCCATACCTGTGAGGAGGAGGAAACGGAGGGACAGCTAAGGGTCACGGCGTGGAAAGGGGGTGGGCAAGGGGAAGGGACTGGAACTCAGAGCCGGGGCCTCTCCTCACCTGACCTCGTTCACCCACTTCTTGGTCTTGAGGCTACGGGAGAGCCAGACAGATGGGCGTGAGCGAGACAGAGGGGAGGATGCCCAGGAGTCAAGGGGGAGACAGAGGCTGAGCGGAGGCAGCACTCGGGGCCCCCAGCCCGAGCCCAGGCTGGGTCTCCGCGCCACCACCTCCCCTGTGCTGGACCACTTCCGAGACCCGTGGCACACACAGCCTGGCAGACTGAGCTCTGGGGCAGGCAGTGGCTCACCCCTGGCGCACCAGGCGCGGGTAGGTCTTGATCAGGAAGTCAGACAGGTTCCGGCCGGTCAGGTTCTGCACCAGCTCGCCAGAGCCAGTCAGCGCCTGGGGCGGCGGGGGTCCACCTGCCGCCGCAGGGCAGTCAGGCAGCAGACGCCGGGCACCAGGCCGGCTGCATTGGCAGGCCGGAGATGGAAACTCGGGGGTCCAGTTGCCACTGGCCAAGACCTCCGCCACGTCTTCGGGGAGCTCAGGCACCGAGAACAGGCAGACAGGAGGCTGGGCACACTCGGGCACCCTGTGGAGACAGCGGTGGGTGGGCCCTGGCTTCCAGGAGCTCCTGGAATCTGGAGGGTCCCAATTCCACCCAAGCAGGGGTGAGGCATGCCCTGGGCGGCCTGAGGCCCGCTAGCTGGCCGGAGGGCGGCGCTGTCAGAGAGGGCTCGGTCCGGCTGGCCGCCTCACCCGCCGGAGCTGTCCTGCAGGCCACGCTGCCCGAGTCCCGCTTCCTCCAGCAGCGCCTCGAGCAGGCGGGCACGCTTCACGTCCCCTGGGGTGTCCTCACTGTGTGGGCGGGGCTGGAGGTCAGCTCTGTGCTCGAGGCCGCTGACCTTCCCACTGCTCCCCTCTCCCTTCCACACTCACCTGAAGAAGGAGACCTGAGCCCCGTACATGTCGGGACTGAGCTGCAAGGCCGGGTAGTAGCCGAAGGGAGGCACGATGAGGCTGAAGGCCAGCGCCAGGCCCACGAACAGGGCTGGCAGGACGATCTGCAGGACCAGCCTATCAGCGGCTCCCCCCACACCCCCCCGTCTGCCTGACCCTCCCCGGCACCCCCCCATGTGCTGTCCCGGGTGCCCAGGACCCCCCACCTGTGCAAAGAGGCCCCGGCGGCTGCGGAGGGCAAGCAGGAAGCGCTTGACGAGCAGGGCCCGGAGCTGGTGGTGGGTCAGCGCCCAGCCCTGCACCAGACCTGGGGCCGCTGGCCCACAGCCCTGCAGGGCTGGTGTCCCTGTTGGGAATGGAGGGTCAGTGCTGGACTCAGGGAGGACATGCAGGGAGCGATGGGCGGCAGGGTGGGAACAGCTCACCCAGCAATCCGTTCTCCAGGGCTGACTCCTCCGGCGGGGCCTTCAGCCCCGTGGTTCTGTCGGGGTGAACAATGGCTGAGCCCGGGTACTTCCTGTGGCTGCCATCTGAGGGGCGATCAAAGGTCAGGGTTGGAATTAGTGTTCAGCCTGGGGTCTGGGTCCAGGACGGATGGTGGTCAGGGCTTGGCCTTCGGGTAGACACAGCCAGGGATTCTGGGGCCTGATCTAAAGCTGTGTCCCACTCTGCACCCTGCAGTGCCGGGGTCAGGGCTGGGGCTGTGACCTGCAGCTGCACGCTCCGGATGTGTGTCCATGGCACAGCTCTCCACCACCTTCAGGAAGATCTGAGGAGACAAAGCAGAGACTGGGGGCCTGGGGACTCGGAGTCCCAGCCCCTAATGCTCCCCAAAGCCAATAGCAGACTCCGCTTCATCCCTTTAAGTGACCCTCCTCCAGCCACTGCCCCCAGGCCCCACCCAGCCCCCCCCCGCACTCATACCTCCTCCAGGCTGGTGTCAGAGATGCCGTAACCCACAAGCCCCAGCTGCCCCAGTCGCTGGTCCAGGTCACAGAAGAGTCCAGTGAAGCTGCCGTCCAGGGCGCCCGCGTAGGGCAGCGCCAGCACCAGCTGGTGTGGCAGCTCCTCGATCAGCTGAGCCCCCGGCACCCAGCGGTGTACCAGGGCCAGCAGCTGCGGCGCCCCTGCGTGGGCTGCCAGGCGCATCAGGCCCAAGGGCACAGGGCAACCTGGATCCCGTCCCTACTCCCAGCCCCGTCTCCCTGGAGAAGGGACTTGGGTGACCCTGAGGACCTACTTCTGTGCAGAGTCAGCACTAAGCCCTTGCGAGCAGGACCTGACCTGCAGTCAGATTCGGAGACCACCCAGGGTCAGAGGTCAGGGGAGCCTTGGGTCAGGTCCGTTAAAGAAAGGGCGGGCCCAGAATTTGGTTCGACTCAGGGTCAGGTATCCAGCCTGGGTCATGAAGCCCAGCATCAAGCCACTGCTGCCCAGCAGCCCCGCCCCGGCTTGCCCCGCCCCTGGCTTGCCCCGCCCCCTGGTTTGCCCCGCCCAGCTCACCAGCCTGGCTGCCCTGGCCACCCAGCTCCTTCTGCTGGGCATCCACCACGTGCTCCACCACGTGCTCCCCCGCGCCGGCAGCACTCTGGGGGCGGAGTGGCATTAGCCGTCAAGGCCAGCAGGGCTGGACGGAGTCTGGGTTCGGCAGTCAGGCATCAGCCCGACTCACCTTCCCGCTGGTGTCCAGGAGCGGGGCCCTCTTCGCCAGTGTGAGGTAGTAGCCAGTGCCCAGGTGGCGGCGCAGGAAGAGCATGGAGCCGCAGCAGCACAGGCGGCCGCCCGCCACCACCGCCACGCGGTCTCCCAGGAGCTCCGCCTCATCCAGGTGGTGGGTGGAGAGGATCATCGTGCGGCCTGGACGCGGGGATGCGCTCCATGGCCACCGGCTGCCAGGCCCTGCCCGAGCTGCAGCCTCTGCCTGGAATGTCTGTCCATTCCCCCCGCAAAATCTCCATCCTGGCACCTCCTTATCAAGCCCCTCCGCAAAACCCAGGGCGAACCTGGCCACCCGTACCCTGTACCTTTTCGGTATTTAAGCAACAGCTCCCAGATGCTGCGGCGGGAAGTGGGGTCCACACCAGCTGTGGGCTCATCCAGGATGACCACCTGGGAGCCGCCCACAAAGGCAATGGCCACTGAAAGCTTGCGCTTCATCCCACCTGGGTGGGGACAGAAGGTGGGAGTCGCTTGGCCAGCTGTACTGGTCAGAGCTGCCTCCTCGGTCCACGCCCCTTTTGCGACCTGCCTGCACCTCAGCTCCCGGCTCCTGCTGGGTCGGCAGAACGCTCGTGACCTGCAGCTTCTGCCACCCTTGGGACAAAGTCCCGACCCCTTTCCCGGCTTCATCTTTGTCAACCTGGAGCCCGGCCCAGGGTGGGCTCACCGGACAGGTGGCGAGCCTGTGCATGCCGTTTAGGGACGAGCCCCACATCCTGCAGCAGACGGTCCTGCTCAGCGCGAACGGCAGAGGCGCTCAGACCCTTCAGCCGCCCGTAGAACCAGACATGCTCGTCCACGGTCAGCCTGAGGTCAGGTGATAAGCAGAGTGGCCGCCATGGCAGGCAGGGTCCCAGAGACACCCCTGCCTCCCAGCACAGCGCCCAGGCTGTCGAGACTCACATGTCAAACAGCACATTGTACTGTGGGCAGACGCCCAGGTGGGGCCGGATGGCTGCCATGCTGGACCGGATGTCATGGCCCAGGATGAAGGCGGTGCCGCCAGTGGGTGGGAAGAAGCCACTCAAGATGGACCTAGGGGTGCAGGGGTCTCAGCAGCTACTCCTTCGGGAAGGAAACAGCCCTCCAGAGACAGGGCTCTCGAGCTTGAAGGGCACCCACTATATGCCCCGACCAAAGGGGCATGTGTGCCCACTTTACAGGGGAGGTTCAGAAGTAATCCTCCCCCCGCTGACCATGCACTCAGGGTGCAGGGGTGTTCACCCACTTCGGCCTCAGTCCCCAGCTGAGGCCTGGGGGTAGGGGGTGCAGGGGTGTGCTCACATTGTGGTGGTCTTGCCCGCCCCGTTGTGGCCCAGGAAGGCGGTGATGTGGTCCTGGTAGAAGTCCAGGCTGAGCCCCCGCAGAGCTGGCTGCGGGTTGCCAGGAAAGCACTTTTCCAGGCCCCTTAGGGAGACCCCTGGAGCCAGGCCAGGCGGCGCCTCTTCCACCAGCACTGCAGGAGGGACCAGGCTCAGCAGTGGGTGGCGGGTGGTCTTTGGGCCTGGAGCTGGGGAGTGGCTAGGAAGGGGTCTGTGGGAGTTAGGGGAACTCATATGGCCTGGGGTGTCTAGAGGTTTGGGATCTGTGAGAACCTGTTGTATTGGGGTGGGGGGCACCGGGGTATCCAGAAGCACAGACTGTTAAGCCTTGTTGGCCTCACCCTCCGGGTCCTGCGAAGCGGGGGCTAGCACAGGACACTTGGGGGGCTGTAGGCCAAACCAGTAGCTCCTCCGAAAGGGGAAGTTCCAAGGTTCAGGGATCCCATACTGGCCTGGGGAGGGAAGGGTGCTCAGTTACCCCTTGAGCCCCACCCAGGGAGATAGTGACCAGGCGCAAGGTCCCGTCCCTCAAACTGAGCGCCCCGCCAAGGGCCCAGAAACTCCGCCCTCTCACCTCAGCCCCGCCTCCAGGCAGCAAGCAGCTCAGAGGCTCCGCCCCCGGGGCCCGCCCCTCAGCCCCGCCTCCAGGTGCGCCTGCGCCTCTTTCAGGATCTGTACGCTATTGCCCACCTGGGCACACGGCCTCCAGGTACCAAGTGGCCAGGCCGTAAATGGTGGCGTCAAGCAGCAGAAAGCAGGAGACCTGAACCAAGCTAAAGATGTCCGCGGAAGGCTCGGTGCCCACGTTGTGCCACTGTGCGCCCACGCCCTGCTCCTCCAGCAGCGCCAAGCTCTCACAGCCGAAACCAAAGGCCACCGGCGACAGAAGGCTCTGCGGGCAGGGCGAGAGGGTCAGCGAGCGACCACCACTGCGTTTCTCGGCCGCCTCACTCCCCGGAGCCCACTCACCGCGGCCATGCGGCCGCCCGCGGGCAGCTGGTCCCGCCAGGCCACACAGAGCACATAGGGCAGGTAGAGCACGAAGTAGGCGAGGCCCCCGCAGGCCGCTGCCAGGTTGGCACGGGAGAAGAAGGCGCTCAGCAGGAAGCTCTGGGCCACTGTGGCCACAGCGAATGTCGCCAAGAACAGGAAGACCACGACAGGGTGGCTGTAGGGGAGGATGTCCCCGAGCTGTGGACGCAACGGGAGCTCGGGTCTGGTGGCCGCATCTGCCCAGGGGCACACACAGGCGGGCGCTTCTTCCCCGCCCGCTTCACGCCCGGTCTGCCGCCAGGAAGGCAGAGGCGCGCCCACCTTGAGCACCAGCACGAGCAGGACGGTGCTGAGCAGGAAGGGCGCTAGGCAGCTGAGAAGCCAGCCGAGCCACAGCACCGCGCGGCTGAGCCCCACCGCGCGCATCATCTCGCGCAGCCGCGTCTCCTTCTCGCGCACCACCGCCTTCACCGTCAGCGCCACCGAGTAGATCCAGGCCAGCGTCAGGAAGAGCGGCAGCGACCGGCTCAGCACGCGCAGGAACCTGCGGTGGGGCAGCCCGGTGGAGCCCGAGAGCCAGCGGCCCGCACAGGGGTGGCGCCCACGCCCCACGGAGCAGGCACCTTGGCATTCCCTGTCTCCTATCCTGGGGGCCCTGAGCCAGCCCGGGCTCCCAGGGTCACCACAGGCCGCCTGTTTCCTGTGCCGGAGAACGCAGACCCTCCCGGGTGGTCCCTCAAAACTAGCGTTGGGCTTTCGGGCTCCTGCTTCCACGATGACCAAGAACAGGAGAAAGAACAGAACCGCCGGAGAAGGCCGGCGGGCAGCCTGTCCGCTGCGCACTCTGCTGCCCCAAGGGCAAGGCCATTAAGCGCTTCACCGGCCTCCCGGGGCGCAAGGGGTCAAAGCGCCCCACTGTGGAACTGTCTGCAACCCCTGCAGTGTGAGCTGGATCCCTGGCCAGGGAGGGGGCGCACGTGACATGGCAGATCTCTGCTGACCCCAGTTGCTCCCCTCTGTCTCTGGTGAATACTCTTATCCCCCCAGCTCTGGCCTGTGCCCAGTTCTTGTATGCATAAACAAAAATAAAATTGGGGCCTCCCTGGTGGCGTAAGCGGTTAGAGCGCAGCACCATGAAGCTGTCGCAGCCCCCGCAGCCTGAGTTGGATCCCCCGCCAGGGAGGGACCCCAGGGCGCAGCAGACCTCTCCTCAGCATTGTGTTTCTGTCCATCTGCCTGTTCTGCTCCCCACTGTGTCTCTGGTGGATCCTCTCACCCCCCCATCTCTGGCCTGTACCCCAGTGTACTGGTATGCATAAATAACAAAACAAAAACACTCTGGGGCATATCCCAAGCCAGCATGTGACACTGCACTATTGGGTGCCGTTCAAAGCAGGGCGGTCAGGAATCGTGTTCATGAAGCTTGGAAGGGTAGAACACCCAACCCGACTGTGGGTGCTGCCCCACGACACCCCCCACCAAAGCCCACGCAAAGAAGCTAAGTCCTTAAAGACTGAACAAAAACTCCTCCGGGGAGAAGTAGAATGGAAATTGCACTTTAAGAAATAATAAACTAGCTGTTGGCCGTAGTGACGGCAGGCCTGCTGCAAGGAACTCCTGCCCCCCCAAGACCCAGCCTCTGGCGGCTGGCGGAACGGGAGGGGCGGGGCGCCGGCGCTCACGTGTCGTCCACGTAGCAGGGGTAAGGCATCTGCTGCAGGTACAGCCCCACGCGGGGCGCCGCGCCGCTGAGCATGCGCACTGCTGCGCGCTCCAGCAGGTCCTGCAAGTACACGAAGCCGCCCCACACGTAGCGCAGGTCTCTCAGGGGGTCCGCGGCTGGGCCCGGGTCCCAAAACCTGCGAGAGGGGACTGGTGGTCGGCTGCAGGGAAGGTCTGGAACCCTGGGGGCACAGTCCACCCCTCTCTAGCTTGGCCTGGCCGCAGGCTCGGTTACCACTCACCCCAGGCCCTTGACACCGCTCACAGCCCCGCCGGGGGCCCCCGCCTGCCGGCCACTCCTTGGGTGGTCAGCCGGACTCCAAGCCCGGGTCGCAGATAGGCAGGAGGCCCTGTGGCCCCGCCCCGCCCCAGACACACCCCCTCACCTGTTCCTGATCTTATTGGTTCTTGCGACCTCGTCGATGTCCATACGGATCTTGATCCGCACCACGCCGGGACCCCCGAATTGTGCCGGGTCGGGGGGGTCCTCTGGCCCCAGGAAGACGACGCCAGCCCAGAAGCGGTGCTCAGCAAGCAGCTCCAGGGCGCGGTCCACCAGGGCCCCCTCTGACGGTAAAGCCTCCATCTTGTCCAGGAGGATGCACTGGCCGAGGAGGGGCCAAGGTGTCACTAGGGGGTGCCGGTCCTCCCCTGGACCTCAGGACTCGTGGGGCTCTCCTCCTCCAAACCCCAGGGTGTGCCTGGCCCCTGTCACCCCGGTGGGACGGGTTGGCTGGCGGAACCCGGTCTTCCCTCTTCAGTAGGTTTCCTCCAAGGGTCCCCAGGAGGACCCCACTGCCCGTGGGGCCACACGTTGGCCGCGCCTCCGACTCGGAGTTCCCTCACCTCCATGACACGACCCAGCGTGCCCACCAGGTGCCCCACATCAGCATGGGCCTCCAGCCAACTGTATCTGCCCCCGCCTGGCTCCAGGAAGGCGCGAAGGGCCTCCCACTGCGCCTGGCCGCTGAGGCCTGGCTCAGTCTTTTCGTTGTCTTGAATCTGCAGGAGCCTCTGGGTGGCGGTGAGCGGGGAAACGTAGGCGTCAGCCACCCCACATCCAAGACCTTATCACCCCCTTGCCACCCACCTCCGCACCCTTTCCAAGGAAGCCCTGCCCTGCCCCATGCTCGCTCAGCAGGGGTGACGCGCCCCTCGGCCGAGGAATCTGCGGCCTCCATCCCAGCCCGACCTGTAGCGTGGCCACATTTGCACTGTTGTTCAGGAAGTTGAAGATCTGGGGTCCCAGCACCCCCCACGCCTCCTGGACATCCTTCAGCAGAGCCAGCTCCTGGAAGGTCCGGTTCACCTGTGGAGGCAGGCACCGAGGTGCACACCAGGCCCAGCCTCGGAGGGGCCTGCCCCGCTTCTCCCACCCTGCGCCGGAGCCCTGCACGCTGCCTCCTCCTCGTGCACCTGGAAGCTCTCCAAAGCCTGCTGCTGTGACCCACCTTCTGGGTCTCCCTCCACTCCAGCCCCGCTGAGGCAGGGAGCTAGGACCTTCTACCTCAGTCCTCACCTGGGCCATGAGCTGCCGCGTGAAGGGTGTGTCAGGTGCAAACAGCAGTTTCCCCAGGACCAGAGGCTTCAGGCGCCTCCAGAGCAGGCGGGACAGCGGGTGACCTTGCAGGGCCCCAGTCAGCTCCTTGCAGGAGGGGCCTGGGGTGGGGGGGCACCATGAGCGCTGCCCCTGAACCCCTCCTCGCAGCCGAGACTGGGGAACCAGCTCCGTCACTCACTCAGGCCAATGTCCGGGAGGGCTGGCGCTGGCCCTCGCCCCATGAGCTCCTTCAGGTCACTTCCCTCATACCAGTCGAGAGAGAGCGCCCTGGGGCTGCGGGGCCCCTTCCCGCTGCAGAGAGCTTCTGACGCTGCCTCCAGGAGCCCTCCTGTGCCTGTCCCCCGCGATCTCCGCAGCAGGGCCCCCAGCTCCACGAGGCTGGGCAGTGCCAGGAGCTGGAGAGGGGACAGCAGAGGGTGCTGCCGACCTCAGCACAGACCCTCTCTCTGCCCCAGACCCCCAACAGCTCCCCAAGGGAAGTGCCCCCCCCCCCCACTGCAGCTCTGTCACCGCTGGGTCCAGTCGCCCCGTTGGGGTCCAGAGCGTGCGGGCCACCTACCTCCTGGACCAGGTCCCTTGATGCCTTGACAAAGCTGTCCATGGGCCCCTGGGATTGGTCCTGGGCAGGCCTCAGGGACTCCTGGGGAAAGACAACAAAGGCAGCAATGACGCTGACCGAGGCCTCGCTGGGGCTGGGGCGTCCACACCGCCCCAGTTCCCATTTCACAAACACGGAAACGTGGGCTCATTCACGGGCCCCGGCCAGCGTCATCCAGACAGCCTACCGGGGATGAGGACTGCCACCCCGGGGCCAGGGACGCCTCAGGCAAGGCCCGGAGGCTGGCATCAGAAGCCGGTTAGGGAGCAGGGCCAGGGCTTCCTAGGGCAGTGTCCTCGCGGCCCTCCGCCCCGCCACACTCACCGCCTGCAGCAGTGTCTGCAGCAGCTCCGTGGCCAGGGACGGGCCCTTCCTCAGCCAGTCACTTGGCTGACGCCAGGCTGCGGGAGGGAGGCACGGAAGCGCGGGGTTAGGCAAACGTTGGCCTGAGGCACCCCTCCCACCACACTCATTCCACAGCCCAGCAAGTCAAGGTTCAGAGCTCAGCCTTGCCTGCTCGAGGAACACAGCCTGACTACCTGCTCCCTCTGCGGCCCTCAGCCTGGGCATCAGCTTCCTCAGGCCAGCCAGTGTCGTGTGGGCACTGGGGCTCCCCAAGAGAGTCTGGGCATCTGCCAGGAGCCGGAAGACCCTGGGAAGAGAGAGAGGGCGGGAGATGGCCGCTCAGCAGGGCCTGTGCCCACTGTGGCCGTGGCCATGCCCCGACCATGCCCCTCACTCACAGGGAGCTGTTGAAGTTGTTCAGGACCCCCGGCTCCTCGCCTGGCGTGGGCTGCGGGAAGCAGGTGTTGTTCGCATTGCAGACGAGGCCCTGGAGCCAAGTCAGGGTGCCCGCCGAGGGCAGTGGCTTGTTGGAGAAGTGACCTAGAGGGTACACAGGGTGTTGGTGGCCTTCCCTGCTCCCCGCCAGAGTCACATTTTGCAGCAACAGCCGGCTAGTTCAGCCATTTCTCCGTGCCCACCTGTGCTCCCTGCCGCTCACTGGGGTCCCCGGGGGTAGCTTCACCCTTCCCCCCAAAGACCCTAGTCCCCAGGGGGCTTACAGTCATGCTGCTCCAGTGGGGGGTGGGAGTGGCGCACGGCCACCAGGATGAAGAAGAGAAAGAGGGGCCACAGCAACTCCACTAAAAGCTTGATCTGGGGGGACACAGAAGAGTGGAGGGGAGTGGGAGTGGGGCCTGGGGCTGCTGCAGGATGGCTCGGCCCTGACCCACCCACCGCAGCGGTACCGGCTGTCTCCTGCGATACTGGAGATTCTTCCAAAGCAGCACCATCAGCTGCATCCAGAAGGCCATGGCGGTAACAGACAGAGGACCAGATGGACGCGTCAGGCTGCGGACATGCTGTGTGGCTGCGGGCAAGTGCCTAGCCCTTTCTGGTCCTCATTTCTCTATCCCATTGTACTGGATTCCTGGAACCTCTGCTTGGAGGCAAACAGTAGGCACTTATCAAAAAATCTCCCTCTCTCCAGGGATGGAGTGAGCCCTGCCCAAGGCTGTCCTCACATCTGATTGGTTGCCAGGCTATAGGTCCCTGCTGAGCAACGCTGGGTCCCCAGGGCTAGCTGCTAATGGGGTGTGGGGGGAACAGCTCAGTTTTACCTCTTTGTCCCCTGACTCCAACCCAAGCTTCACTTGGTTCCTCCAGGACCCATTCCTGCCCCAGGAAAGGATGCCCTCTCCCCAGCAAGGAGTATTTACTGTGCTAAAGAAAGCTGAGTGAAAGAGGGGTCTCACAGCTTGGGGTGGCACACCGGCTTTGCCAGCCCCTCTCAAGTTATTTATGGGTCACAATCCAGAAAACAGCTCAGGAGAAGGGGTAGCCACGGAGGCTCCTCACCCCATCCTTGCCTGGGACTGCCCAGTTTTCACCTACTTTCCTACGTTATAGAAGGGGAAACTGAGGCCTCCAGAAAGGCAGGCAGGGAGTTGACAGAGGTCACCTGAACCGTAAGAGGCTGGAATTAAGGTTCTCGAAGCCCCTCTCCAGGACTCCCCTGGGGCGTGGCAGGGCAGCCTCAGTTTCTCAGCTGGACCTTGCGGGCCTGGAGGAGTTCTCAAAGGGGGAGGGGCTGCAGGTGCATGTTGGCAAAGTTCCTCCCAAGTGATTCTCATGTCCATCGCCCCCCCCCCCCAGAGCCAGTGGTCAGTTCTATGCTCCACAACACGTACCTGCAGGGACTGAAAGTGAGATCCCTCCGCCCTTCCACTTTTCCCCACCCGAGCACCTTCGGATCTCTGGGCTTCCTTCCTCTCACCGCTCCAACTCCCAGCTCTCGCCGCTTCCCCTCCACCTGGGGGCGGCCAGGGAGCGCGGTCCCTTTAAGAGGAGCGCCCCAGCGGGCGCGAAACCCCGCCCGCCAAATTTCCCAAGCCTAGGAGGCCCGCGAGCGCCCCCTACCATTGGCTGGCGAGTCCGCCACTCAGGGGCGGGGCAAGCCGGCGTCGCGGCTCCGAAAAGGCGGAGTCAGAGCGGAGCCGCCGGGTGCCGGGTTTCTTAAAGGGTCGCCTCACCTGCTGCTGCGTCACCGTGGGGTGGCCACGCGCCAGCCCACTCCACGCCGCCGGCCTGTCTCCCCACGCTGCATACCGGCCTGCAGTGCCGCAGTTCCCGGCCGCGGGAGGGCTCTTTATCCCCACTCTCCTCTAGCTTCAGGATTACTGTGGTCCTCCACTTGCCCACGGGGAAGTGGGGCGTCACCGAGTCACCATTCATCCATCCACTCACTCACCCCTCAAACGACTCTGGGTCCCTAAAGGGCCAGGTGATGGCAGAAGGCGCAGGGGCCCCAACATTCTAAGATCGGTGTCCGGCCCAGAAAGGTCCCCAATTCTGAAGAAAACCTTCCGATGCGGATGCGGAAAACGGTGTGTTGCGCAATAGTGACCCCAAGCCAATGTGGACGCGCTGCCCTGAAGGCGCTGATGGGGGGGGGGCTCTGGGAGAGGTGATGTGGTGCCCAGGCGTTGTTTGCCCACGGGGAAGCTAGAGACGTTGGGGACCCAGCAAACCACAGGCAACAGCCTGGGGCTGGCTGACAGGAAGGCGGGTGGAGTCCCAACTGTCACTGGGTGGTGGCTTCCAGACTTCCTCTCTAGCTGGGGACCCAGTTCCTTCCCCTAGCCCAGGTCTGGGCTCTAAGTCACCCTCCAACCATTTTCATCTGGGCTCTGGGCCTCAGCTTCTGCTTTAATCCTTCAGCCACCCCCAGAGCCCCAGGAGAGATCACAAGTCACCCCGCCAGCGGAGGCCAACTTTCCCCTGCACCTTATTTTCATACAAAGTTTTTATTGCCTTTGGTCCATAGTTGCTATTTCACATTTTCTCGCGATGCAGTTGGGGCTGGGGCCCTGGCCGGCCTCCAGTGGGTCCCTGTGCAGTCCCTGGAAGGGGAGTGGGGGAGGGGGGGGTATGGCTTTGCCTCAACTACTCAGAACTCCATTGTGGCATCAGTCTGGCCAGTGGGTCCCTGGGACGGGCTAGGGTTGGGGACAGTGGGGAAGCTCACTCTAAAGACATGAAGGTCTGTCAGTGCTGTGGCCTGCCCTATCCAGGGGTCTTCCTTCCCTCCTGCCTCCTCCACAACCCTCAGCCCTTTCTTCCGGGAGGAGGGGTCCTTGTTTTTACTTTAAAACTGCCTGTAACTTCCATGGGTACAGAAACCACAGAGTGATGAGCAGAGAAAAGGAAAGAGTGGAGAAAGCAATATAGGAATCACTTGAGACCCGGGTTTCTTAACCGTCCATCGACTCCTCCACCCAGAGCCTGCTGGGCATCTACTGGCTGGCAGCACTAGGACATGTAGGAGAACAAGAGGAAAAACCTGAAAACTCAGCTGGGGTGGTGACGTGGGGAGAGAAACCCAGCCAGGCCCACAGGAGGCTCAGGCTCAGTAGCCGGCCTCCTCCTGGCAGTAGGCGGGGCACTCGGGGGCCTCCCTTGGGCTTGTGCACTCGGCGGCGGCCCCGTCGGCCACGGGGCCTTGTGGGCAGTATTTGGGGTCATAGATCTGCCGGCCCAGGCCAAAGACCTGGCCGCTCTGGGTGGCGCCCTGCGTGTAGCCCATCTGCAGGGACATGGAGGAGTTGTCGCACTTGTCCGTCCCCAGCTTGTTGTCATAGATGTGCCGGCGGGTCCCAGGAGCTGTCATGCCCACCTGAGGACAGGGACAACATCAGGGAGGGGACAAAGGAGGCCTCAGGGCCCCCACAAGCCCCCGCACCACTGCCCCTCTCACGCCACGCGGCCGCCTACGGACCTTCCAAACCCACTTAGACACCCCCTCTTCTCTGGCCACGCGACCCCCATTTCCAGTACTAGTGACCCCCCTTTGAGCCAGAGGAGTCTGGGTCTAGCGGTCCCTGAGCCTGGAAGCCCCCCAGCAAGAATCCCAGAATGTAAAATTATCCGAGGGGGACGGGCCTCGGCAAACGTGAGGGAAAAGAACAGCGGGACCGCAGCTGGGGGGGCTCGGCAGACGCGCAGTCGGAGCCGCGAGGGAAGCCCCCTGGGGTTTCAGCGGGAGGCCTGAAGGGGGTGGGGACGAGATGGATGGTTCTGGGGCGACAGCGGCAGGGTGGGGCCCCCGCCAGGCCCACCTGGCTGGCACACTTGTTGGTCCCCATCTGAAGGCTGATGGTTGAATGGTCCATGGGTGGCAGGATGTGGTTCTTGGGGTCGTACAGGTGTCTTCTCGTGCCATAAGCTGTCATGCCCGACTGGCTGGCACACTTGTTAGTGCCCATCTGTGGGGAGGTGGGAGGAGAGGGCAGGCCGCGCCACGGCAGGGCTGGACAGGCCCGGAGACAGCAGTGACAAGCTCCCTCAGGGCGGGCCCGGGGCCTACCTGGAGCCCAATGACACACTGGCCCGCCTTCATGGTGGCGTCGTCGAAGTTCCGCTCCTGCTTCTCCGAGTACTTGACCCCGATGTCCACGCCGCTCTGCAGTCCCTTGGTCTTGGCCTGGAGGTGAGAAGCAGTGGGGACCCTGGAGCCAGGCCCCAGGTGCGCCTCTCTGGGGGAGCGTGGGCTGGGCTGCAGCTGCCAGGTGCCCTGGGGGGCAGCACACGGCCCCCTGCCCTCTCCGGCATCGGCGGCCCGGCCTTCCCGGTGCCCAGGGCCGAGTTCCACAGGGCATCCTTGCTGTCCCGCACCTACCTCCTGCCACTTCCTACCACCCGACCCCTGTCCAGGCCACGGCCGGCAGCGCTCCCCTGGCCACCTGCCTCCAGCTCTTCGTCCCTGCTCTCCCCACCTCCACCTCCCAAGTGGCAGCCACAGGGGTCTCTTTTTGGGATCATTAAATAAACACTTAGTTCTTCCTTTTCCTTCAAGGCCCTTTTCTCAACTTATAAAAAATTATCTGAAGAGTGAACCCTAATACCAACTCTGGACTGAGGGGTGTGTCCAGAAGGCCCACAGATTGTAACATTCCGGGGTGTGTTCCTGCACCTTCCACTCAATTTTGCTGCACTAAAACTGCACGAAGTATTAAGTCCATTAATATGGGCCCTCCCTGGTGGCGCAAGGGGTTGAAGCACAGCACTGAGAAGCAATCGCAGCCACAACAGCATGCGTTCGATTCCCCCGGCAAGGCGCAGCAGACCTCTCCTGTCTCCCCACTGCGCCCCTCAGCAGTGAATTTCAGTAGATCTGCCTGCTCTGCTCCCCACTCTGTCTCTGGTGAATCCTCTCCCCCTTTGCATCTCTGTCCTGTACCCCAATTCTGTATGCATAAATAGATAAATCTTTCAAAATTGTTGTCCATGGCCGCTTCCTCCATCCCACTGCATGTAAAGGGTTGGCAGACTGTGTCTGCTCAGCATTGAATCAAGCGGCTGTGTGGGGGCCCTCTGAAGTTTCTGCGAAGGAATGAGCGCGAAGCATCTGAAACCTGTGTCCACCTTGCAGGGTGATTCTGAGCAGACTGCTGTCTCTCTAGCCTTACCTTCCCAGCAAGGGCGAGAAGAGACACCTGCACCTGTGTCATGTTCCCGCTCTCAAACAGGTCATTGGCCTCGAAGAGGTCCACAGGGTTCATGCCATAGCTAACCATGGCCTTGATGAAGTTGGACAGGTTTTCCAGCTGGGAGGGGACAGCAGAAACACTGTGAGTGGACCTTGGCCTGCGCATCTGTCAGACAGGTCTCCCGGTCCCACCCTGGCTCCACCCTGCCAGTCCCTCACCTGGTGCCAATTCTGCATGGAGCGGTTGATCTTGGGGACTGAGCCGGGCTGCAGCTTATTCATGAGTCTGGGAAGGGGTCACATGGGGTGGGGGGAACCAGGAGCTCCATTAATACAGGAGAACCTCAGACACCCGAGAGTAATTCTCATCTCGGCCATGTTTACGCCTTCTCAGGCAACCTCACTACTTCCCTCTGGGCCTGTTTCCCCTCTTGTAATGTTAACCTTCACCACCAAAGATACTAAAGAGTGACACCTGTGTTGGGGGTATAACCCAGAACCACTGGTTCAGGAGCGTGAACATGGAGATTTCCATTAACATTTTAAAGGGCAGACCAAGGAATGTTTGAAATATTGCAGACTAGGATGCAACAAAGAAAGGCTCCAGAGTTTAGCGGCCCTCCCGAGATACTCGCTACTAGGGACCCAGACAAGGCGATATGACAAGAAAAAGGAAAGAGAGAGACCCAAGACCCGTGAAGGGAAAAGCAAGTAAGCGTCAAACATCTGGTTGTGAAGAACAATCAGGGTGCTGAGCGTGGGCCAATACACACTCACGTGCATAAGATAATTCCATCCTTCAGGCCTCTCTGGAAGTCGGGGCCGATGGAGAGGCCTGTGAGCCCCTCAATCCAGCTGCGGAGCTCTGCCTCCTTCTGAGGGTCATATTTGGACAGGAGCTGAAGGAGCAGAGGGTGCAGGCAAGATGAGAACACCCAGCACGCACCCCTGAAGCTCTGAAGGGACAAGGGTGGTGATCTGATGGAGAGCCCTGGATGTCCCCAAACGCCCAAGTGCACCTTTCTGTGAGCAGGGCACCCACAGGCACAAAGTACCTGGCCACAAAGACACACTCGTCTCACACTGGTAAGTGCTGACTCTAACCTACTTCCAATGGTGTCGGCCCCCCACGCAGGGGATGGTCGACAAGGCCCCCCATGTTTGCTCATCTGTGCTCTCCCTGCTCAAATACTGTCTTCTGTTGTTTTCCTTTAAATTCTTGTGAAACGCATCCAACATTTGTCATTTTAAATCACACAATGTGGTGGTTTTTAGTACATTCAGTGTTGTAGAAACCATCACACTGTCTAATTCTAGAAAATTCCTTCGCCTTAAAAGGACCCCCATCCCCATCAGCGGCCACCCCCAGACTCTGGCACCACAAACTCACTCCTTGCCTCTGTGGCTGTGCCTGTTCTGGACACTGCACATCAGTGGACTCACACTGTGCCCTTGTGTCTGCTTTTCTCCCTGAAAATGTCACGTCTTCAGGATAGTGACCGTCAGCACTGCCCTCTTGGTGGCTAAGTGATATTCCAGTGTGTGAGTAGACGTGTTGTGTGTATCTGTTCATCAGATCATGGGCACACAGGTTGTTTCCACCTTTTTGGGTGCTGTAGCTCATGCTCCTAGAAATATGTGGACTAGTTTCATTAGAACACCTATTTTGAAATCTTTGGGGTGGAGTGGAATTGCTGGGACAGGTGGCATTCCACGTTTGGCTTACTGTTTCTTGAACCCCCATCACAATTGCTGCCTTGGGTGGGGCCTTTGCTGTCACTTCTGACCGGATGCTTGCATGGCTGAGTCCCTCCCTCCAACCTGGTCCTAGCTAGAAGGCCGCCTCCTTCAAGAAGCCACCTGGCAATAAAGACCCTCCCTTTGCTCAAAGCAAAGATCTACATGGGTGCTTGGGGACATCCAGGACCCTCTCCCCAACTCTGCTTATTTCTCTACTTCCTGTTACGTGATCAGTCTCCTTGCATGAGACGTCAAGTTGTCTGCAACCCTGGGTGTCTGGATAAAAGGGTCAGTGCACACTGCCCAGCAGTGCATGCACACACGTCCACTATCCACAGCAGCATCTCACAGCACCCAGCTGGGAAAGTCACCACGGCTAGGGTCCAGGGAACTTCAAGAAGTTAGGGAGACCCAGGCAGGTGTGTGAACAGTGAGGTCAACCCCTGGCCAGCTCCTGGGGCAGGGGTGGGCAGAGCCTGAGCTACCAGCACAGCAGCAAAGGACTGAGCTCCGCGAGCTTCCTGGTCCTGTCCCCCGCCATGGGACAGACCCCAAAGGTGCCTTTCAGTTCCTACTCCCCGCTTCCCCCTCAACTTCCAGGTAACTGTGGACAGGTCTCCCCTCAGGCCTCAGTTTCTCCATCTGTGTTTGGAATAGTTTTCATCAGGGTCTCCTGGGAGGGGCAGGGGATGGTGCTTCCTGGGTTTGCTGACAAGCCCCTGCCAGTGGGGCTGAGCAGCCCCAGCTGGGGAGACAAAGGCATGGAGGCTGGCCTGCTAACCCAATCCGTCTGACCCACCCCTCTGACCCACCCCTCGTGGGCTCCGTCTCCGGGTTCCCACGGCACAGGGAGCAGCCCTGCCCAGGGCAGTCTTTGCCCAGTCTGAGGAAGAAAGGGGGTAGAGTGCCCACAGCTGAGCCTGAAGCGGGCAGGCTGGTCTGGATGCCAGGCATGCCTTGTCTGGCTGGGCCCATCCCTGAAGGCTCCTGGGGGCTGGCCGCCAGGGTCCTGGGCGCCAGGGTCCTGTGGCAATGGCTTCCTTCCTCCCCACCCAGCCCCCACCCACTCCCCAGCTGGCCTTCAGCACTTTCCTCCTCACCACAAACTGTCAGGAATGCAGCCCTGCCTCCTCAGCTAAATTGGGACCAGCTGTTCCCAGCGACCTAGGCTCCCTCCCCCACCCCCACCCAGCTGCATGGGGATCTTGTGGTCAGGCCCTGAGAGTCGCACTGGACATCAGCCAGTTGGGGAGCAGGGCAGCAGGTCACAGGAAGCCACAGGAAGCTGGTTTCCAACCTGGGTGTGGCCCCCCAGAGGGGCCCTGACACCAGGTGGTGCTGCACCCACTCTCCTGCTCCAGCCCTCCATCGACCATCTGACCATCTCGGCTGGGCAGGCATCAACCTGCCCCCAGGCCACTGCATCTCAGGAAGCTGTCCTCTCCCACCCCCTCTTAAGGTGCAGCGCCCTCATCCACTTCCTGCCGCTCCCAGGGTGTGGCCTGACTGCCCAGGAGGCCGGGGGGCGTGGGCTGTGGGCTGCAGGATGCCGCAGACCCGAGGAAAGCCATGTGGCCCGCGAGTCTGCTGCCCCTCCGTGCTGGGCGAGATCCCTAATGTCCGGGCGCTGGATTTGTGTCAGAGCGGAGAGGAGTGCCCTTAAGGGGTGTCCAGGGCTTACTGAGTGGTCCTGCTCCATCTTCTGGCTCCCAGGTCTCAAGCCCACTCGGCCAAGCAGGCGGGAGCCCAGAAGACTCCAAAAAGCTCACCAAGGTGCTCGTGGAGCTGACACAGAAATTCTCCCCAGTGTTGAGGGTGCCGGTGGGCAGGTACCTGCCGGGGGCTGGCAGGCTATGCCCGAGACGTGCCCAGGCAGGAGCCCAGCTGCTGCCAGCTGCAGGACCACATTCCCAGCAGTCGGTGGGAGGGGCAGGAGGTGGGCAGGGGCGACACCCGCCAGGTGGAGAGCTCCAGGTGGAGAGCCTCGAGGCTGGGCAGGCGGAGGACCTCTGCCTGGTGGGGGGCTCACTGCCCCTGCCCCCTTCCCTAGGGGGCTGGCCCCACTGACTGACCCTGCCCAGGCATCCTCTCTGCTTTCAAACCAGAACTACTGTGGTTTCTTAAATAAGAAGTGGCTCCCTACTTCCAGGTTATTGAGGGTCATTTCAGGGGACCCCACTTGTCTGGAGGGCCCCTCTGCTACCCCTTCAAGTTTGTCAGGTGGGGACAAAGGGACTGTGGCCGGGAGCTGCCCCTCCCCAGCTCCAACTTCCCCCTGGTGACCTCCCCCAGGTGTAAGAGAAGTGGGGAAATTCCTGTAGGGCACCACCCCCTTCTCTGCCCCAAGTGGCCCTAAAAGCAGAAGTGCGGCTGGGGGTGCAGAGGGGACTGCTGGGGCTCCTCGGGCCTCCAAGGGGAGTGGGGAAGGGGTGGAGGGGGCGCTTCGACTGTGGAGGTCCCAAGGCCTGGGCTGGGGGAAGATGTTGGGGGAGCTGCTAAGTCTCAACCCACACTGCTCCTCTAGATTTGGGGGCGCGTTGGGGAGACCCCCAAGGAGGAGAGGGGTCGCTCTCCAGATGTCAGAGCTCATCACCTCCAGATGTCAGGGAGCCTGTCTGGGCTCCGCACCCCCCCTCCCCCGAGGTCCCGGGTGCGACGGTCCCGGTTAGGGGGTACCGGGCGCGCCCCTCACTCACCCGGTTCTTCACCTCGGCCGAAAGCCCGTAGGAGGGTCCCTTGTTGAACTGCGTGGAGCTCATGGCCGGCGCGGCGCGGCGCGACGGCAGACCGCGGCCAGGCTGGGGCCGTCGGGGCCCGGCCGCCCCGCCCCCGCCGCTGATTGGCCCGGAGCGCTCATGTCCTTATAAGGCCGCGAAGCGCGGATTCCTGCGCCGGCCACTTCCTGAGCCCCTCGGCCACCCAGCCCCGCCGAGGGGAGGCGCCGCCTGCTCCCACCCGGGGAAACTGAGGCTGGCGGGCCGGGTCGGGACTGCCTGGACGCGCCCTTGCTGCGTTTCCGTTTGCCCCTCCGCGCGCCCGTGGGAGAGCAGGAATTGTTGCATGAAACCCCAGTTCTCTTGGGGCACGAGTGGGGACCCCTTTGCCATTTATAGGTGCCTCCCAGTTAAGCTCCCAGCCCCCAGAGGTGCCAGCTGGGCAGGGAATCCAGAACCAGGCTTCCGAGGAGAGGAGGAGGCCACCTGTCCAGTTAAGGAGGAGTTCGCCTGTCCAGCACGAGTCCTGGTCCTGGCAGAACGAAGCGAAGCGTGCAAAGCCTGCAGGGACTGCCAGGGGGGTGGGGGTGAAATATGGCCTTGAATTCCAAGCTGAGGGAAGATGGGGAGTGGGGGGAGGGATGGACACTGGGCATGGAATCAGGGAGAGCCAGGAGATGCCCAGGGGGCAGGGACCAGCCGAGCCAGGAACAGGGTCCTCAGAGGACCAGGTCCACAAATTAACAAAGAACAGAATAAATGAACTCACTCCCTCAGTAGCGCCTTCATGCACCCCACACCTATTCATGCATCACAGTCCAGGCGTGGCCAAGGTCCAGGCGTGGCCAAGGCCCGCGCCGGGCTCCCTGCTGCTGGCCCCCAGGATACCTCACCTCTGGCCCTGCCCCACCACGGAAAGTCGGTGAGCACACACACCTGCCTGTGCCCACGGTCGCTCAGAAGGCGGGGGCTGGCGTCCGGGTGGAATAAAAGAAGCTGCACAGGAGAGAAGTGGGAGAAGGGACGGAAGCATGAGCAGGAGTCTGAGACACTTGACAAGGGCCTGCTTGGGCGGCTCCAGAGCACCCCCCTGCGGCTGCCCAGGGAGCACTCCTCCCTGACGCCCCGGGAGCACTCCTCCCTGACGCCCCACTGCCTGGGTGTCCGTTTACTTTTTCTGTTTTCACTTTCATGTTGGCCCCGAGTCTCCTTCTTGAGTGGCCTTGTGTGGGTCCTTCCCTCTCGGTCTGAGTTTCATCACCTGCAAAATGGAGGCCAGACGGGGGTCACAACGAGACCGTGCAGCTTGTGTTATCCAGGAGGGGAGCTGTGAGAGCAGTTGGGCCAAGGTGTCCCTGGCGGGTGGGGCAGGGCAGAACGCGAAGGCAGAGATGGAGCTAAGGGCTCCAGCCTGCGGCTCGGCCTTGGCTGGCAGCTCTCCTTGTCCCAGCCCAGACCCCGCCGCTAGTCCAGCGGGGCCATTAGTGGGGTTTCTGGGTACAGTCGTGAGCTGAGGCTCTCTAGGACGGAGAAACTGCACCTGCCCACAGCCCCCTGGCCACCCTGGGCGTCGGGGCAGGTTTACTGGCAGGACAGCCCGGTCTCAGGGGCCGGACCTCACCCAGCAGGGTCTCTAGGCGACTGTCCGGCAGGGGGAGCTGTGGGGCTGGCCATCCCTCCGCGGCCACTGCAGCAGGAGATGGGGGGCCGGGCCGAGAGCCAGGAGCGGGTGGAGGAACTGGGGTTCCGCAGGCTGGGCAGTAGCTACACCACAGAAACAAGTAGAACGAGTCCAGATTGTTCTGAGCCAGCGGCCTGGCCGAGCCCGGCTCCCCCGTGGAAGCGGACACGTGCCAGGTGTTTATATTACCAGGAGCACTTGGTTGTGGGCGGCAGCTGGTCACGGCGTCTTGACCAGAGCTGGCCGGTGGCCTTCGGTGGCCCTGCCCCCCTGCCCGCCTCTGTAGCCGCCGGCCCATGGCGCTGCTACTTGAAGTGTGCCGGGCGCGGCTGAGTAAGTGAGGTTTCATTTATTTGATGCGCATTAATCTATTTCAAGTTAAAAATGGCAACCGGGCCAGTAGTTTTTTGTTTTTTTTTTTAACCTGAGTGTATTTGAAACACATTTGGAAAATGTGTGCATTTTTCCCTTTGTTGTAGGCCTGTGGCGTCTGCCTGTAGATGTGGGTCTGTGCGGGGGTGGCAGCGGCCGGGGGAGATGCCCCCAGATGCCCCCGGGGAGGGGTGCCAAGCAGATTGCCAAGACCTGGCCCAGAGAACCCTGTGAAATCCCTCCTGAGAGCTTTCTCGTGCTGATGACATGTTGAAATGATCGTGCCTCCAGCTGCGGGGTTGTGTAAAACATATTGCTAAAACTTCTCTTTTAGTTCTTTTAACACGGGCCCTAGGGCAGCCCAAAATTGAGACCGCGCCAGCGGTGTGTCTTGCGTTCCCACTGGACAGTGCTATCGCCAGCCCAGGGGCCATTCAGACAATGGCCCTCCTGGTTTGTCTGGTTTTTTTTTTTTTTTTTTTTGCTATGACCCAGGAGTTAAATTTTTTGCATTTTTAAGTGTGTGAAAGGAACCCAAGGAAGAGGGCTGTCCTGCTCCCCGTGGAAATCACATCATACTCAGATTCCAGGGTCCAGGCCAAGGGGATGGGCCACCCTTTGACCCAGCGAGGCTGCCCTTGTCTCCCGGAGACTCTCAGGCGTGCGGGCTGCAGAGCTGAAAATAGTGACTGTTTGGCTTTTCGCAGAAGATAATATGCTGACTTCTGCCAAGACTTTCAGTCTCCCCAAACCCAAGAAATCTAGAGGTGGACATCCCGGAACTCAAAATCCTGAGGCTCCTAAACTTAGACCCTTACAACTCCGGAAATCTGGCCTGAGGATTTCAAACTCAGGGAGCCGCCTGGTGCTTCAAGTTCCGTGACCGCGCCCTTGCCAAGGCGCTGGGGTTCAGAGTCAGACTCCACTCGCTGTGTGACTTCCTAGAGTTTGCTTGCCCTCTCTGTACCTCAGAGGTTGACACAGGAGCGGCTGTAAGGGCTAACGTGTCAAGTGCCCGGCACAGTGAGAAGGCCATATGGGCGTCTTGAGTCAACACATGCTGAAGTCTTAGGAATCTCGGCCTCAGCCTGCAGGACTCTGGCAGAACCATCTGGGCTCCTGCAGCTCCCCTCGGCCCTGACCCCATGGCGCTCACAGCTGCATCCCGGACTGCTCACAGGGTTGGGGGCCAGGAGCACCAACCCAGGTACTCTGGACCTGGCCTTTGGAACGAGGGCCATGACTGGAGAACCTGGGGTTTTAGATGGCCCCTAAGCCCTAAGTCTTTTTTTTTTTTTTAAAGATTTATTCATTTATGCACATAAGAACTGGGGTACAGGCCAGAAGTGCAGGGGGTTAGAGGGTTCACCAGAGACAGAGAGGGGAACAGAACAGGCCGATCAACGAGGGGAGCAGCAGGGAGACAGGAGAGGTCTGCTGCGCCCTGGGGGTCACCTCCCTGGCAAGCGATCGAACTCGTGCTGCGGGGGCTGCGGAGAGCCACTGTGACCCATGGCCCCACCAGGGAGGCCCTCTCCCAGCACCTTGACCTGGGGTGTCAGAACTTGGGGATGTTGGTGACTGCACAGGAGTAGAAGTACAGTGAGGGACATGGGCAGGTGGCCCATGGGGTGTCCCGGCCCCTTCCCAGTTATGCACCTGTGAGATGACCCCACTCGGGGTGGGACCCCAGGAGCTCAAGGCCTGACCTCAGGCTGGGATCCTGGGTGAGAGCCTTTGGCCCCCCGGGGGGGCTTTGGATGCCCCCCATTGCTCTTCTTTTCGGTTTGCACCGGCGGGTCCACCTTGCTCTTCCTGCCACTTCCTGCTGGCACGTCTGTGCGTGGGCAGGAGATGCAGGGACAGCAGCAAGCAGCCACAGTGGCGTAACCTCTCGAGGGGCACCTGGTGACTCAGGCTGGGGTCTTCCCTTGCTCCCCTCCCAGCCACGCCACCTTCGCCACCTCCTTCCAGCCCTGCCGAGAGCCGCCTTCTGCGAGCCGCCCGAATGCCCGTTGGGCCCTCAGCCTGCCCTAGCAGCGTCCTGCCTGGGCCGCCGGCACAGCCGATACAGCACCGCCGCCTGAGCAGCGCCGGCCCAGCGGCCTGCCCTCCCCAGGCTGTCCCCGCGAGTGGAGCGGGGCGTCCTCTGTTACTCGGGGTCCGTGGAGACCCTCCCCTGCCTGTTTCCCCTCTTCCCCGATGGTGGTGATCAGGATTGGGTGCTCGGGGAAAGTCACGTGGGAGCCCGGCGCTGAGCGTGTAGCACGGCAGCCGCCACCCGCCCTGCTCCGGCAGGGCCACATGGTGACAATTCACTCGTCTCACCGTGGCCACATGCTCAGGAGGGCCCCAATGTTGGCCGTGCTGGACACAGGAGGGCACTCTGTCCCTCCCCCTCGCCCAGAGACTGGGCTTCCTCCCGGGTCACGGGGACATCTGCTGACTTTAGGGCGTGTCCACGATGATGGCAGGTGGGCACACCGACCCAAGGCCCGTCCAGAGCACGCCTTATGGAAGAGGCAGAGAATGATGTCGGCTTCCTGGTCTTGGAACAGCAGGGTCAGTCTGAGCGTCACTAAGGGGTGGGGGTCCCAGGATCATGGGGCCTGGCAGGTAGGTCTGGAAGATTCTCTCAACCTCCAGATCATAGCTGCAAAGTCTCCTCCCACCCTGACCACCCAGGCCAAGCAGGACAGACGGCCGCACTGCACAGCCTGCTCTTTCTCAGAGCTCCCCTGGGTGCCCCTGAGGGGGCCAGCCACGTCCAGCGGTGCAGACATGCAGCGGCTGGTCACCTCTCCCCTGCTGGGGCCACTGCTGCCTCCCGGACACCGAGCGCCCAGCCCAGGGCTGCGAGCCCATTTCCTGAACCTTGTTCTTCCCGGTGACACCCTGCGGCCCATACGGGTGCCCTGCTGTAGTCAAACATAAGTGACTTCCTGGGAGGCGCCCGGTAGATCCAACGCTGAAGGCCGGAATATACGACGCAGAGGTGGCGGGCAGCGCCGGGACGGGGGGGACCGTGCAGGGTGCGCGTCTGCGCGTAGGCACAGGTCCCAGTGGGGGCGGGGCCGTGAGCTGTCCCAGGGCCAGGTGCACGCCCCTGAGGCTTTTGGAGGCCTGTGCACTGCCGCCCTTCCGCGATGGCCCACGGTGCGCAGGTGCGCGCAGGTGCTCACCTGTTTCCGTGAGGGCAGACCAGGGAGCAGGTGTGGAGTGGGGGCCATGTCGTCTGACGCACTCAACGCAAAGCGCGGCGGGTGTCGCCAGGGGGGTGGGCTCAGAGGGCACATGCTCGCTCAGGTGTGGGCAACTATGTTCCTGTGGGACAGGCAAGCAGGGGCTAAGGCGAAGTCAGGGGCTCACACTAGCACAGCTGCAGGCAACAAAATATGGAACGCTTCACGAATTTGCGTGTCATCCTTGCGCAGGGGCCATGCTAATCTTCTCTGTATCGTTCCAATTTTAGTATATGTGCTGCCGAAGCAAACACGAAAGTGTGGCCTTCCGCGAAGGTACTTATAGGCCACCATACAAATTATTTTACAGTTAGGTCAACTTATATAACAGTTGACCTTATTCTCTATCGTGCCGTATAGCCTGTAAAACAACCTTGTCATTTCGTTTTCGTATATTTAATAATATCTAACACCTCAGAGAGAGCGCTATTTGGCGGCTCGTGGCCGCGAGGGCTTGTGGGAAGAAATATGCAAAATAGTCGCTCAAGACGCAACCTCACACCCTCGGCTTCCGCGAGTCAGGGAACCAGGCCGGGGGCGGGGCGGCCGGGGGCGGCCGCGGC